TCATGGCTATAGAATACTGAGGAGGCAATTCTTACTAACATCTCAAGTGAGCTATCTGAGGTGAAAGCCAGTCTTTGTAGCTTTTTCTGTCCAGCTTCCCATTGCTTTGGGACCCCACAACCAGTTAGTGTCCTCTCCCCAACTGTCAGCACAGGCAGCAGGAATCCTGCTGCAGACTTCTCCGGGGCTCCACCACAGCCTGTACTGTCGGGAAGAATGGCTTCCAATGAGTCTCTGCAGGTATTGTGCAAGGTCCTCCTGGTTTACAGCTTGCGAACACCACATTGTTTTGATTGCTACAGTTTTTTGCATGCCAGGAAATCGTTGTTTATCTATTCTAGCTTCTTGCCTTTTTACTTTAAAATTACCCTGTGTGTATCTACGAAAACCCTGCTGGGATTTTGATGAAATTTCATTAAGTTTCTAGGTTAGTTCAGGGAAAACTGACATCTTAACTAACTTGAGTCTTGCTACAGGAAGGAGTGTCTTCTGTTTATAACTTAAAACTTTTTTCCATCACTACTTTATATTCATCTTTATTCTATTTTCATTGTAAAGATTCTATATAGATTTGTTAGGTTTAAATCAACATTTCTTTGTTGTTATTGTCATTATAGTTGTCAAAATATAGTACTTTAAAACACTGTTTTCCAGTTGTTCATTACTGGGGAAAGAAATATACTATACCTTGCTAAACTTCCTTATTATTTAAGAATATTTTTACACAGTCTTGGGAATTTTCTGTATAGTTGGTCATGTCATCTATAAGTATGTCTCACATCCCCTTTCTGGTTTTTTTTTTTTTTTTTGGTCTTTTTGAGACGGTTTTTCTGTGCAGTTCAGGTTGGCCTTGAACTTACTTTGTAGCCCAGGCTGGCCTCGACTTCGCAGTGATCCTCCTGCCTCAGCCTCCTAAGTGCTGGGATTACAGGTGTGTGCCACCACACCTGGCCTTCTTCTGTTCTGATTCTGCTGTCCTTTATTATTCATTTTTCTTCATTTCACTGGCTACAGCTTTCAGTAAAATGTTGGGGTATGGGTGAGGAGAGTAGAAAATAGCACTAAGTGTGACATTTGCTTCCGTCTTTAAACATTCACTTTCAGGTTGAGGAAGTTCTCTTCTATCCCTGCTTTGCTGAGCGTTTTTATCATGAGTAGATGTTGAATTATGTCAAATGCTTTTTATAATTATTGTAATTGATTTGTCGTGTGAATTTTCTTGTTTAATCAGCCTAATCTGTGAGTTACATTGAATGATTTTCAGGTGTTGAATCAGCCTTGGACTTCTGGAATATAGCCACTAGGCTATAATCTGTTGTTCTTTTAACTTATTGCTGGACTTCCACTTATTTTTCACTGAGGAGTTTTGCATTTCTGTTCCTAAGTCACATTGTCTGTAGCTTCCCTCCTTGTAGAGCTGACGGACTTGGCCCTTTCTTGTGTCTGTGAATGCTTGTTTGTTGCTATTTCCTTCTGCGTGAGCTGTGATATTGCAGTTCCCCTCTGATTCGTGGTTCTTGTTTGTTTCTAGTCTTGAACTGGTGGTGTCTTAGTCTGCTTGACTGCTAGAACAGAACACCTTAGACTGGTTGTTTAACAACAACTGCAGTCCGCTGCTCCGGTTCTGGAGGTGGGGAAGCGCAGGAAGAAGGTGCTCGCTGCATTGGTGCCTCCCGTGTGTCTGTAGGCTGAAGGTGTAGTGGCTCCCGGGGCCTCCGGAGAAGGGAGTGGAACAAGCCCTTTCAGGGTGGAACCTCAGGAGTTGTCCACCTCCTGACAGCATCACATCGGGGTTTGCTGCAGCACAGGGACTTGGGGGACACACACTTCAGAACACAGCAGAGGACCCAGCTGAAGTATTTAGGTTCTCCTTTCGTGTTGTCTCCATAGCTGTCTTTGTGGAAGACCGCCATGGCGGCCTCTTGTAGCACAGGTGAGGGGAGGGATGGTGGAGGAAGCCCGGGCGGTAGCTCAGGGAAGATGGAAAGTGCATGGAGGGGCCGCAGCGGCTGGGTGCAGATTCTCAGAGCCTGCGCTGTGGCCGCAGGAGCGAGGCAGAGTCAGGGAAGTGCAGATGCCTGTGTTTGTTCGGCTGCTGTGCTGAGGATCTGGACGCAAGCAGGAGCCTCGCATGGGCGCAGGCGGAGGATTGCAGAGAGCCCCCGACCACATCCGCCAAGTGTTCACACTTGCCGTATCGCCGTCATCGTTTTCCCTCCTCTCCTTGTGGTGTAGGTGTTTTCCGACTTGTTAGAGAACTGCAGATGTGAAGCTCTTTTACATCTGAATATTCCGTAAGACCAAGAAGCGAGCCCTGACCCAGCATGATTGGTCAGTGTGCAGAGCTTGCTCAAGTCGTCTCCTACCCACTCCTGTTCTTCATGGGAAATGAGGTTCCGGTCTGAACTGCAGTCTTGGAAGTGTTACTTCCCTCTTCTGTACTTTGAACAGCCTTTCAGTGTAGGAGAGTGGGAGTGGGAGTTAGGGGTGGACAGGGAGATGGACAACAGCTGCTGAGACGCGGGAGGTGGAGACAGACCCTCTCCAGGCGTCTCTGCACGGATTCCGCGCCTCACCCTGCATTGTGGTTTGGTTTTGATAGTTTGCTTCAGGGGCTCCATGACCACCGCTTCATACCTGTGGCCGGCAAAGTCTTCCTCCCTGGCCACACAGCGCTCAGGTTAAAGGACCATGGTTTGCCCAATAATAAATATGAATAAATAAAAGTTAAACAGTGAGCTTCATGAGTCTGCCCTGGAAGTTCACTGCACCTGCTGGGTGTGAGTCTCCGTGAAGGACCCTTGGGAATGTAGATTCTGCATCTCACCACCAGTAGGATCCCCTGTTCCGGGTTGCTTACATTAATGAATATACACATTTGTGTGTGCATACGTGTGTCTTCCTATTTTTTTTTTATTTTAAAGAGAATAATTAAAAAGAACAATAGCAAGATACCAACAACATAGACAAAAACAAAACAAAGCAAAAACAATAAAAACGACACAGGTTTCAGAACAAGATGATAGGAATTAACAGTGGCTGTTGTATTACATATTGTTGTCTTCAACGAAGTTGCTCAGATTACCAGATGTAAGAATGCAACATTGATCAAACCTGTCTTCCTATTGTCATGTGGACAGAGCACCAGAAATGATTCAGTCTGTCAAAAGGAAAGTAACTTTTTCCAGGCAGCTAAGTTAGATTAATACACAGTCAGAGAGGGGCTGGGCCCCAAGAAAGGTAGCACAGACAATAAAGAATGCGGATGGTGGCTGGAGGCGAAGCTGAAGGAGCCCAGCCTCAGGATGGAGCGGCAGTACCCGGCCTGCAGCTTCCCCGGAGATAAACAGCACCCTGAGCTTGTGCTGTCGTTAGCGTGTCCTGGTCAGTGGGCCCAGGTGGGCCCCAGGCACATAGGTGGGCGACCGGAACACCCGGGCCCGCACTCCCCTCTGTCCCAGAATGCCTTTGTTCGTGCCACACACCCTTGCTGCATACCTGTCTCCCCACTGGATCAAGGTCGGCTGAGCGGCGTAATCCTCCAGTCTGGTGGAAGTCTGACCTATATCGTACCCACATTGTGAGCCGTGACAGCTGCTCGGGACCCCTGCTGGAAATCTGGGAGCTGTTCTTCTCCTTAGACCAGTAAAACTCTCCTAACCCTGCCCCGGTTCACAACCTCATTCCTCGATGTTGTGGGACCTCACACTCAGCATGTCTGACCACTGACAGGTCAGGAGTTACATCCTAGGTTGGTGTGACTTGTTTGGAGCTGCTGTCCTGAGCTGTGGTATGCCTTTGATGCATGCCTGTGGTACGCCTTTGATGCATGCTTGTGACAAGAGTGTGGGGTTTTCTTTGGGGTCCCCGGCTGGGTGTTGCTGCTGTCTCCTGTTTGCCCAAACCCCAGATACGCAGAGCCCCGGGTGGGCAGCCCTGCTCTGGAAGCAGCTCTGCACGCAGCTTCTGGTCCTGTGGTTGAGTGGCTGAAGGGCAGGCTTCATTGTTTGTCCAACCTGGATTTGAATCCAACTCTGAGTGTGGGCGAGTTGCTTACCTTTTTAAGATTTATTTCCCTCTTTAACATAGGAATACAATAGGCAACTTTTTATGGCTGATTTTCAGGATTCAGTGAGATAACACATAAAAAAAATTTAGTATGGAGTGCAGAATGGGTTAAAAATCCAAAAACAGTAGCTATTTTATTTCCTGCCCTGTCTTTGGTGATTATAATCTGTTCTCTCTGAAAGTTGAGACTTTCCTGTATTTTTCACGATTTCTGAAACACTGTCTCAAATGTGGTCTGCAGGATTTTGTCTCCACGGTTCTCCGCCTGCTCGACAGTCCCTCGACCACCATCCGAGCGAAGGCCTTCCTGGTGCTCTGCTACGTCTTGATCCACAACCGAGAGATGCTGCTGCTCAGCTGCCAAGCACGGTGGGGCCCCCGCCTGACTGCCAGCCCCCGCCCCGCGCCCTTTGTGAGCAGATCGGTGTCACTTCACAGGGCCTTTCCTGGCCTTAATGTGTCTGATACTGACAATTTTTCCTTAAGTGTCTCGAGGGTTTGATGTTTCTCTTGTAATTTCAGCCTGGAAGCACAGAGAGCCCTGGGGGACTTTGGCAGGCAGTAGTGGCGGGTCAGGGGGATCTGGATCTGAGCACCCCGGGACAGGACCCTCGAGGTGCTGCCCAGTGGCTTCTGGAGGAGTGGCTGGGCTGTGTTCTCTTGCTATAGGATTCTGGCATTGTCTCCGGAGGCCCTCATGGAGCAGCCCTTGAGGCCAGAGGAGGCGCAGGGCAGGACAGGACAGGACTGGGGGGTTGGGGCTGGGTGGGGTCTTGGTCTCGCTCTTCCCTTTCCTCTGTCCCCCTTCCCTCGAAGAGCAGCAGTTGCTCACATTCTGCAGGTTCCTTTCTGAGCCGTTTGGCCGGCTTTGTTGAAGCCCAGAGGATTCCTGAAAGTTCAGTTTGATGTCTTTGTCTCATCTGGGCTTTTCCCTGTGCTGGACCCTCAATAGGTGTCTGGTCCCCCACCGACAGTCATCCTGTTCTGCACGAGCACCAGCCATGCTCTCGTGAACCCGTGCTGCCTCTGCCCTCTCGCCCTGTCTTCTGTGGTCTTTTTCTTGCCCCCCTTTGAGCATGCAAAGTTGCTGCGCTTGGACTTCGCAGTCATCATCCCTGACTCCGAGCTCTTCCCCTGGCGGTGGTGGGGCTGCCTCCCTCTGGTCAGGGGTGACTTCTGTGGAGAGCATCTGGCCACTCCATTTGACGTCCTCCCTGGAAGGAGCGCGGCCAGAGACCGCCAGGCCTGGCGTCGCTGGTTCTGGCGTCTGAGGAGTGCAGAAAGCGCTGCAGTGAGAGAAGGCGCAGTGCAGCCCCACTCCGCGCTGCTCGGTCTCTGCAGCCCTGTGGGAGCGAGGTGAGCTGGGGCGGGGTAGAGGGTGGCTCTGCCTTCTTGCCCTGCATGTCTGTCCTGGGGTCGCCGAGGGCCCCCTCCCCACTGGCTCCCTTCCCACCCTCCCCACTGCTTCACGCGTGACCGGATCGGGCCCTGAGCGGATGAAGGAGCCGCAGCTTGGTGGGTTCTGGTCCCTTGAGGATGACTCCGTCCTTGAAGGAGAAAGAACAGGAAGACAGGGCAGCTCTTTGGAGGCAGAACCAGTGGCAGTGACGGGAAGGAATTCTAACAACGAAGGAAGACCACAGAGAGGCGGCTTTTCGGGAAGTCAGCTGGAGAACTGAGGGAGGGCGGCCTCATGGGGACGGCGCTGGCTTCGAAAGGCCGTGGGCCACACGGAGCCGCTGACAGACGTGGAGACGCACGCCACACGGGAACAATCAGGACGGGAGCGTGGCTGCTTGGGACCCCACACGCCCAGTGCCTGCGGCTCCAGATGGTGCGGGGTTTCTGATCAAGGAGGCGGTGGCCGTCACTTCCTGCCACATGTGCTGTCTTCTGTCCCTGTGTGGGGCGAGCGTTCAGGCGTTCAGGCGGAGGGAGAATGACCGACGCAGACGAACTGTGTTTGGGTGGTGGGAGGCTGAGAGGTGGGGTGTGCCTGTTCCAGGGGATCCTTACCACCTGCACAGCGAGAGGCCGGTGTGAGCCGTGGCTCTGTCTGCGGGATTGAGGGAGGCCCGGGCCGGGCTCGGTGCTCCGACTGCTGGGCGGGAAGCTGCTGGGAAGACTTGGTTCCCAGCATCCTGCAGGCCCCGCTCTCCCACGGCCGCCTGCAGGGAGGCCTGAGAGCCGCCCTGTGCCGTGTGAGCTGGAAAGGCTGCACACGGGGCCTAGACACTGCCGGCGGAGGGCAGGAGCTCGTGGGAGTGAGGGACTTGCTCTGCAGGCCGGGCCTCGCCCCCCTGTGGCTGGCAGGGTTGCCAGGGGCCTCACCCACACAGCTGGAGCTTGAAGTGGCTTCTTAGGGAAGCCCTCTGCCCCATGGAAGCCTCATAGTGGCGACATGTGGGTGTCCCCTCCTGCAGCCCTGACACCTGGTCCCAGCAGGACAGGGCATCTGCCCTACCCCGTCCCACACGCCCTCCGGCCACGCTTCAGCGCAGAGCATGGCGTTGGAAACAAACAGCCAGGCACTGGCAGGCTCGGGCCTCCTCCAGCCTGGAGCACGAAAGCCAAAGCTTAGCACAGGGAGAGGTGGCAGGGCCTCAGCCCAGAGCCAGGAAAGCCAGTTCTGAGGAAAGGAACGCAGGTGACCGAAGCCTCTGAGAAAAGCCAATCAAACTGCACATGGAAACCCCACTCTCACCTACTGCACTGGCAACACGTGGCAGTGTGTTCTCTTTTCGAGGCTGTGGAAGCTGGTACTGTCAGACTGTGCTGTTGGAGGTGTGAAGTACGGCAGCTCTTAGGGAGAGAAGCCGCAGTGCAGGAGTGTTCTGGGTTTTGGAATGCTTGTATGTAGGAGGTGTTTGAACGATGGGACCCGGGTCTAACACTGAATTCCTCGATGTCTCGTGTGCTCCTTATGCGCGTAGACGGAGGCTAATTTTGGGCAGTGTTTTTAGTTGTGGCTGGATTTTGACTGTGGCCGGTCACATGAGTCAGGACAGTTCCCCGTGTCAGTGGGAAAAAGCTCCAGAGATTGGAGCATTTCTGATTTTGGACTTTTGTATTAAGGATGCTCACCCGCTGTCTAGGGAAATTGTGTATTTATTTGTCTCTTGGCCTGGCAGACACACGGCTACATATGGGGTGACAGCACAGGGCCTCAGGGCTGGCAAGAAGCGAAGCTGCCCGGGGCCCAGCACCAGGACACTGGCAGCGGAGCTCTGACTTCTCCCTTTGTTTTCTGTTGCTGTTGTCACAGGTTAGCATGGTGCCCGCTGTTGATGTCAGCCCCCCCGGGTGACCCTTACACCTAAAGGCACAGGCTTGAGGTAGTGGCTGCTGCTGAGCCTCCCCTGAGCTCTGGTGGCTGTGGAGCCCGTGTTTTGCCAGTTTGTGGCTGGCGCTCTTGCTCAGCTTTGAGGGTGTCTTTTAGGTTGGCACCCACACAGAGCTACTGGCAAGGTCTCCTCGCATTGCCTGCATCCCCTCCTGCCCCAGTATCCTTCGCCCTCTCCTGCCACCACCTGTCTCACCTGATTGGCAGGCCCACCTGACCCTCTGCACTGCCTACAGTGATGGAATGGGGACTTCTGTCCTCCCAGCTCCCTCCTGAATTGCACCTGAGCAGCGGGACTAGGACTTCCTGGAGGGAGGTCTCTGGATTTCCTCATACCCCATCCAGGTATGGGAGTGTGGTGCTGCTGTGAAAAGGAACACGGGAGACCTCCAGCCATGGCCACAGTGGCCTCCAACAGCTTCCTCCCGAGAAAGGCGAGGAGCAGGACAGTGTTCCCAGCCGTGTCAGTCAGTGTCTTACCAGAGAAACAGATACAGCACATGATACACACATGTATGAGAAAATACAGGATCTGTTTCCGACATCAGCCACAGAGTCGGATGAGGAAGCATGCAGAGGGTGTCTACACACTAGAGACTGGAAGTTTCAGTCCAAGGTCTGGAGCTCACTGCAGCATTCTGTCCAAGTCTGCATCCAGTGGGTCTAGGACAGAAGGCTGATGAGTCTACTCCGGAAGGCTGAAGGATGCCAGGCAGAAGCCAAAGAGTCTGTGCTAGAAGCCAGGAGATGACGTCCAAGCTGGACACAAAGACTGGAGCTCCTCTGAAGAACAGAAGCAAGTCTGTCCTTCCTCATTTCCTCTTATACTGTCCAGGGTCCCGGGGATGAACCGCCCTAGGGTGGGTCCTCTACACCCTAGGGTGTAAGCTTGCTGAGCTTAGTTAAGGTTCTCAACTTCTCAAGTGGACACAGTCAGTGAACTGTTACACCGGCCTACCACGTGGTTAGTCCTTAGGGATGGGCAGAAACAGGGAGACATGTTCGCTTACTAATCAGGAAGGAAGATTGGAGGATTAAATTAAAAATTAGCAAAAACAGCAGTTGAAGAGGGTGGATGAGGTTGAGGAGCAGGGCAGGGTGGTTTGTACCATCATCACCAGGAGGTGAATATTTTACATAAATAAATGAGAGTGGTAAAATGCAGTCCCCCATTGAGAGTAATCTGTGTGTCAGGTTTGTAGAATAGTTTCCCAAAGAAGAGAGATTTAAACTGCTCTGGAGTCACAGTATCAGGGCAGGATAATTCTTTTAGGATTTATTTTGGGTGCCAAAAACCCAATGAAGAAACCTAAAACTGCATCCAATTTTCCTGTTGTCAATATTAATATTTGTATTGCTTCTTGAAACTATTACCTATGTGGTAAGAGAAAACCAATAATTATGCCAAGTTCAATCATAGCCGAGATTTTCCAGCTTAAAGAAAAGCATTAATTATAGAATATAAGGTAAAAACCTGTCGTTAGTTTGAATCAGAAGTACTAGGATGAATTCATGGTTTATTTTTCCATTGTTTAAAAGAAGGTATGTATTTCATACTTTATGGGCCCCCTGCTGGTCTGCTGGTGTTGCCCTCATGGAAGACCACAGACTGGGCGGCTTGAAGGGTGTGAACTCATTGTCCCCAGTTCCGAAGGCTCCAAGCCCCAGAATGGGGGCCGCATGTCTGGTTTCTCCTGGACCGGGGGAGGATCGCCCTGCCACATGGCCCCCTGCGTGTCCAGGCCTGGGTTCTCCCATCTCAACAGCCCCAGGCGGGTTGGGGCAGCATGCCACCCTTGGGACTTGCACTGCACTGCTGACCTCTAGGCCTGTCTCCAGAGGGCTTCGCTGTGGGTTTTATCAAAGTGGGGCCGGGTTTGTGTTTCAGTTCTTGAAAGATGCAGGTCTGTCTGTAGTTTCCTTGCTCGCTCGATCTTTCTCTTTTCCTTTCTCTTGTTGTAGCATCGTTGTAACACCAGCCTCATAACGTGGATCAAGATGTGGACCCTCCTCCTCTGTTTTCTAG